GATTTGCAAATAGATCTTGACTTTAACACTTACTTCTACCAAGCCCGCCTATATAATTATTTGAATAATTGATAAAGAGGGTTGAAAAGACCAACAACAACGATGATAAGAAGTCCCCACGCAAAGCATTAAAATCCAAACATCTGGATTTTGAGAAACAATTCATGAGTTCCAACAGCAAGAGAAAGACCACAAATTACATCAGGGAGTCGGGTAAAAAAAGAAGAAATGCAGACCATGACCCACAGGAAGAATCAATATCAAGGGCAACGAAACTGACATATACAATGAACGAAGTTGCCAGCAACAATAAAGGTTATACGGATAGAGTAGAAAATTCATACAACATTGAAAATGATGATGATAATAATGAGAATGAAACAGTGGTAAACGACGACGGTAATGAGAGATGTGGCACTAATAATTTTTATTATTCTTTGTATTTTTTTTTTCGCAATAAAAATTACGTAGATCAAATTTTTTTTCCATTTGTATTTGTATGCAATAAAAATTATGTAGATCAAATTTTTTTTTCAAAAAAAAAAAATTTACCACTCAGCATTGCTTTGCAATTCAATTCAACGCAACTCAATTTCAATGCAATTGCAATTGCAACCTGTTTTATAAAACAAAACATTTGCCGTACGACATAATTTTTTGCTAAATATGGTGAAAACGTTGATCGCGCCAAAAACCGAAAAGACCAGGCGCGGCTAGACGCAAAAGGAGACAATCGGCGAGAAAACTGCGCGGAAGTCGCACGACTTGCGAGTTTTGGAAGGAGATCGTGACACGGCAAATGTTAAATCTTTTGTGTTAACCAGTTTTATTATTATGCACGCGACCATTAAGGTAATAATAATATATTACTAATAATTCTTATTGTATTAACAGGATTTACTATATAGTTTATTGTTACGCGTGGTAAGTAATCTATTATATTAAAAACGTTAGGTTCACGTGAGCGTAACGTTTAGAATGGCGCCCACGCATAAATAAGCGTAACGTTTAGAATGGCGCCCACGCATAAATAAACGTAACGTTTAGGCTGCCACGCATAAATAATTTTTTTGAATTGTTCAATAACGCAAACGTGTGCCACAATCTATCCGTTATGTTTAGACTACCACAAGCACGTAAATAAATATGTTGTGATGCGTAACTTTTAGACTACCACATGTAATCTATCTATTATTGTATTGTCACACACATAAATAAATATGTTGTAATGCGTAACTTTTAGACTACCACATAATAATTTTTAAATTGTGTAATGGTGCAAATGTATATCACAATAAAATTTCTACAATAAAATTTCATATGTTACGCGTTTGAATACTTTTCGTGACTATTCCCAATTTCCACAATAAAATAACACACAAGAAAATTATGGATAGAAATAACACTATGAATGAGACTTCCGATGAACGTCGACGAAGTCTTAATCGTGAACGACAACAACGTTATCACAAAAACAAAAGAAATGTGGATTCAGATGGCCCTACGGAACTTGACCACCCAGGAGAAAAGAAGGTATGTATGCAAGGTGTAGTTAGTGACATTATGGATGAGACTTCTGAAGAACATCAATGAAGACTTAATCGTGAACAACAACGGCGTTATCGTGAAAACAAAAGAAATGTGGATTCAGATGGCCCTACGGGACTTGAGCAATTTTTAGAAAATAACATGTCTACCCCTGCTGAGCAAGTAGTAGTTATTCCTCCGACTACTGTTCTTCTAAAAACATCAAAAGCGCGTGTTTATCCATGGTGTTCACAAGGTTTAGACCGTCACTCTCTGGGAAGCATGAATCATAAATGTAATTGTTGCGGGGCACTGTTGTGGATAGATGAAAGAAAAACAGGCACATCTACACGATCGCCAATTTTTACAACATGTTATGCCAAAGGCAAGGTTTCTCTTCCTCCTATTGAGGAATTACCACATCCTCTCAATGTGCTTCTTACTAGAACAGATCCAAGTGCACGTTTATTTAGGGAAAATATTAGGTCATATAATTTAGCTTTGGCTTTTACATCTATGGGTGCAAAGGTTGATAATAGTATAACAGGAACAGGTGGTGTTTACAGCTTTCGTGTTCATGGAGAAATGTATCATAGCATAGGCACAATGCTTCCTGACAATGAAGCTCACCCTCAATTTGCTCAAATATATGTGTATGATACTGAGCATGAATTGCAAAACAGGATGAATGTAATGCCTAATCTTGATCCAGTTATTCTTGAGGAGCTTCAGCAAATGTTACATGATGTGAACCCATATTGTGAAATTATTACTGGAAAACATTCTGGAAATTGTGTTTTTCTTCCTCGTATTACAATGACACCTTCAAATACAGATCTATCTTTTATTTTCAAACGTCATCAATTCCCTGTGCAGCCTGCCTTTGCAATGACTATCAATAAGTCTCAAGGACAAACATTAAATTTGGTTGGTTTATATCTTCCAACACCAGTATTCTCTCATGGACAATTATATGTTGCCTGTTCAAGAGTAACATCACAGAAGAACTTGAAAATTCTTACCTCTAAATGTAATGGAGAAAATGTGCGTTGTGCTAATCTTACATCTAACATTGTTTACCCTGAAGTGTTACAATAGGATAATTTGTGAGGTATGTATGTGATTATAATAATAAATGTGACATTTTGTAGTCATGAAACCAAATATTTAACAAAATTATGTCAATTAAAATTTTCATTTTTTTAAATCTATACATATTTATAATAAATGCAACCAAACTTATTAGTATTATGAATTTACAATATTAAATATATTTGAATAAAATTAAAAAAAAATTTACAAGATTATTTATAATGTGCTCTAGATGTAAACTGTCAGCAAAGCTGACGGGTTACACCTAGTTATTATTATTATTATTATTTTACTTATATCCAACACCCCAATCATTGATCTGATGTAATATTTAGCACATCATATGACTTCCATAGTAAGTTCGTTTTAATTGATCAACACAATTGGTAAGTCCAAAGATTTACTATTTTACAATACACTGATGATTTGACCACATATTCTATATCTACTAAACAAAGGACAGCATGGGAATAATCAGTATAACTGAAGAGTAGCTCATACAATTATTTGAACTTTGTGAAATGTAAAATTTTTTATGATTAAAAATAAAAAATAAGACAAAACATCACAATACTTTATAACAATTTCTTTCTTTGTTAATTACAATTAATCTATCTATAAAAATAAAAATAAATATAATAAGCATAAGTATAAATGCAAATATGTATTTATAAATTGTAAAATTTTTTCACATATTTAATTCATTCATCATTATTGCTACTATCATCTTGGAAATTTGATACAGTTGTAACAAGTTTTGATGCAACCAAATCTGCCAAATCAGATGGATCATTTATCACATCAACACTATTTCTACTTTTATTAATATCTTTATTCAATTCACTTATATCTATTAAAGGTTTTAAAGATGGGGGTGTAGTGGGTAGACTATTTGTTGTTGAATTCTTGTTCTTATTGTTCCCATTATTTGTATTTATTCTTAAATCTAAACTTGATGATACACTTCTATTGTATGGCTTTGATACACTTGTTAATGCTTCATCAACACCAAAGCTTGAATATTCTGATCTGGTCAATTCAGTTTCAAACTGATATAATCTTAATGCTGTAACTGCTTCAACATTTTGTAACTCTGCTGCTATATCAACAGGCACCTAATATATATTTTTTTATTATTAATTGATTTATTTTTATTTTAATTGTAGAATACAGTGTTATTTTACCTTTCTATTTTTATCTTTTAAATTAATATTTGCATGTCTTTTCAAAAGTGTTAGAATTAATCTCGCATTATTTGTAGCAGCAGCATGATGAAGACCACTCCAACCATTTTCATCCACAGAATTTATATCACATAACCATAAAAGTAAGAATTCCACTGCAACATCATCATTTCTTAAAATTGCTTGATGTAAAGCTGTTGTGGAATTTTCCTCATCATTTTTCCAATCAATGTTTGCTCCAAGTGACAAATACCTCAAAGCCTCATGAAGATTTGTTTTATTCATAGCAATCCAAAATTCCTATTTTCATTAATAATTTTATAATTAAATTTAGAATAAATAAATAGGATAAAATAAATAATAACAATCATTACTACCAAATTAATATCCAAAGAGTCATCATCCTTTTTTACTATAAAAATTTTTTTAACATATTTTTCAAGGATAAATTTCTCTCTCTCAGCCCTAATTAATAATAATAAATAAAAATATTAATTTTAAAAACTTAATATAAAAAAAATTCAAATTTTTTATTTTATAACAAACCGTTCCCATGAAGAAGAATTTGCATTTTTATAACAATCATCATTAAGTTTTGCCTCAAATATTTCATTTGTTTTAGAATTTCCTAATCTTAACATCACTTCTATTGATTCTGGTTCCCATTTATCTAACATTAATGATCTAACTTTACTTACATGAACACCTAAACTACGATGAATTCCTGAACATTCAATACATAATAAAATGCCAAAGTTTGTACTGGCCCATTGTGGATCTAAAAAAAATTGCTTTAATAATAGATCAATTAATTCAAATAAATATTTTTAATTGGATTTTTACCTTTAATTTTACAATCAGCACATATTGAATTACCAGGAAACCCTTTGATTTTATTAATTGAATTATGTATTCTTTGTAATTCCTCTTCTTCTTCCTCTTTGATATGTTTACTTTTTATGTTGAAATCACCAATCATATCATAATTAAATAACTCCTAAATATTATTATTGTTTATTATTGTCAAGCCTATTTATTTTCTTGTTACATTATTATTATAATAATAATTAGCAATAATAATATATAATATTACTTGTGAATTATTTACATCTCCATATGTTGATTTTGGAATTCTATCAGAATATAATGCTTCCTTAGCTGCTGTTTGTAAACAATACATCCAATCCTCCATATCTTCTAGATTTTCAGCTTGTAAAACATAAGTTCTTAATTTTATAATATAATATGTATTATAAATTTTTTATGTATTAAAAAGATGTAATAATTAATAAATTGATAAAAAATATATAATTGTTTGTAAATACTTCATTGGTGATATTATCTCAAAACAAAATCTTCTATCAATATTTTGAACAGGTTTTATATGACAGACTCTGAGATTTATTGAATATGGTTCCTCTTCTTCTTTTGAAACCTTGTAACAATGATAACAACAATTAACAATAATCTTATTATTACTATTAACCATATTAATTTATACTAAATCATATTCAATCACTAAAATAGTAATTGTGTAAGCTTACTTTTCCATTTCTACTAGAATGATATAAATATTCACCAGAAATAACAAAATATTTACGAGACCATGATTGTATAACTCTTTGGTTTCCCTTCATAAATAAATATCCAGATTTATTTAAAGATGATGATGATTTATTTAAAGTAGTTTTTTGCAATTTTCCCATGGGTTTCTTTTTAGAGCTTAATGGATTATAAGTTTCTTTTGCCAACTATTTTTTTTAAAAAAAATTTTAATGTTAATATGAATTATTAAATTATGATTGATAAATAAATAATAAATAAAAGATTAAATAATCATGTACATCTAGTATTGACTTTTTTATTTGATCAGAATCTCTCATGTCATTATTATATTTCATCCTTGTCTAATGGTAATAATATTATTATTAATAATAAAAATATTTAATTATATAGTAAAATGATAAATGAGCAAATGAATAATGAATCTTTTGTTTTTAAAAAAATAAAGTACCTCATGAAGTAATCCTGTAAAAGTAAAAAATAAAAAAATTATATTATTAACAGTGGTGTGTATATATGCATATAAACTGAATTTTAAAAAAATCACAACTTGTCACATCTTTCATGTGAGGTTCAAGATCTTTCATTGTTTCATAGCTTTGATGGTAAAAAGATGACTCAGTAAACATTAATGCTAAGATCTATAATATTAATAACAAATTATTTAAATGTTTACCATCAAAATAAAAAAAAATTATTGTTTTAATAATGAAATCGACCCTTTACATATTCCATGAATTCAAACTTTTTCTTTGCTTCTAATTCATTTAATCTTGTAACATAGTCAAGGTATCTAAAATGAAATTCCCTTCTTGTTTCAGAAACTTCAAATGAAGCCTAACAAAATATAGTATAAATATACTATGATCATCAATCAAAATGTAGATTATATTAATCAAATTGTTCACAAAATAATAATACCTCAGAGATTGTTGAATCTTTAGGTTTTTTGTTCATATATTTAGCAATAGCAGTGTCAGCTTCATTACTAGCCTTTTCAAATACTTTTTTTACTTCCTAATAAATAACATATAAATATAATTTTTAATTTTTGTGATAAATATAAATATAATAGCTTTTTGAATAAATTTACCTTTAATGGTAATATTTCATTTTTTGCAAAAGCTTCTAGTGGTTCTATAAACATTTCATTTATATGTGAATTCTTTAAAAAAAATAATAATAAATAAATAAATAAATAGAAAGTTCAAATTTTCAATTTATCATTATATAAAGATTAGAGAAAAAAGTTCTTGAATTTTTACAAGAATTCTACGACTTCTTTCAACTTCTTGCAAAGATGTTGCATATTTTATAAGAATAGATTCTATCATAATGTTGATAATGGTTCAATTAATCTAAATTAATTAATTATCAAGATATTTAAAATTATACATATACTAATCTTTTAATATAAATATTTACTTATTGTTGATTCAGGTTGTTGTTTTGCAAAACTTCCAAGTTCTTCAGCAAATTGAAGTTGCTTAATAGTATAATCTAAATAATATTAATTGATTAATGCATTGATTATTAAAAATGGAAAAATTTTAATAACAAGTATTTTTTACCTGAAGCAAGGTCTACACTAGATTTTGCTAATTTGACAAGATTTTTTATACTATTTTCTAAGCCAAAAACTGAATTTTCACAATCAATCAATTCTTTACGGAATTTTGGAGAATCTTCCTGGCATAAATGAAGATTTAAAGGGGAAATCATATTTATAATTATTTGCATACCATCTAAAAATGTAGATCAGTCCGAAATTTAAGCGAGTATCTTCACGTGATTAATATGTTTTTTAGAATTTTATTGGCCGGACATTGATAGCCGGAATTTTTTTCTGTTATAAAAAACTTTTTCTGAAGGTAACGCTTCCTAAGACAAAAATGATATTTGAGATTCAGCTGATTGATCTTTGAATAAAAATTCGGTTGTTGTCCTTGTGGTTTTCGTAAAATCATTAACAGTCGCAGGACATTGCGGATCTACAGGGGGTCAAGTGTCACTCACTAATAAAAAATTTTTGATCAACACGGAATT